ACATCAAAGGTGGCTAAATGAGAGGCGTGGCATTTAATAATAATAAACTAATTTGTTTAATTAATGCATAACAAAAAATTAAGCGGCTAAGCAAAAAATATAATATAATACCACAATAATTATTTAAAATGTTTTTTAGCATTTAGCAAGATGGCCAATCTATTTTAGACCATTTTACACTATCAACAGCAGACTTCTTCAATACATCAGCAAGTGGTGGCTCACATTTCTTTTGACAATTATCATTTGGTTTGGTCATTTCAATATCTGCACAAAGAAATATAAAAATTATAATATCATAATAATAATAAATTTTAATTACGCTGTGGTATCTTCTGAGGCTCAAAATCACGATAGTCAAGTATTGTTGGTCCCAGAGATGACAGTCCAAAGAACCTAACAGGAGTCTTGAGCTCATCCTTTGCATTCCAGTAGCCATAGCATGGTTTTGAAGGATCACTAGTACCTGGGAACCACCATACATCAACAGAAATACCCTATAAAATCCAGCAATAATATTAATTACACAAATTAAGCATAACTAAACTAACTAACTTCAATTTTAGAAGATGTACATGTATATGCAATATAAAATTTGAGAATTTTTTTTGACAAAATACCAACTACTATTTACAGTACCGGTATTGCTATTATTAATTTTGTCGAATTTTAATTTTAATTGAAACCAGCTCAAACTTTCAGATAATTAGTGTAATAAAAAGTTTGGGTGACTTCGGAGCTATTTTTTGAAAAAAACATGCTTCTTTTTCCAAAAATTTGCTTGTTTTTTAAATGCTCATAACTCAAAAATTATTTGTTGGAATCAGCTCAAAGCATAAGGACATTAATATGTATCAGAAAATGTAATAAAAATTAGGTGTGATTTCAGAGCGATTTTTTGAAAAATACCATGGGCTATAGCCTTGTCTATTTTTTAAAATTGGCTCAATTTTTAAAATGGTCATAACACAAAAACTATTTGTCGGAATCAGCTCAAACGTTCTACATAGCATAAGGACATCAATATGTATCAGAAAATGTAATAAAAATTTGGTGCAATTTTGGAGCCATTTTTTGAAAAATACCATGGGCTATAGCCTTTGGGGTTTTCTTAAAATGGCTGTAACTCAAAAAATTGAACTGGGAATTAGTTCAAACTTTCTACACAGCATAAAGACATCAATATGTATCAGAAAATGTAATAAAAATTTGGGGTGATTTCAGAGCCATTTTTTGGGAAAAACCATGGGCTATATAGCCTTGGGTATTTTTTAGATTTTTGGCGTCTTCTTAAAATGGCCGTAACTCAAAAAATTGAAGTTGGAATCAGCTCAAACTTTCTGCACAGCATAAGGACATCAATATGTATCAGAAAATGTAATAAAAATTTGGGGTGATTTCAGAGCCATTTTTTGGAAAAAACCATGGGCTTATTATAGTCTTGGGTATTTTTCAGAATTTTGGCATTTTCTTAAAATGGCCGTAACTTGAAAAATAGAAGTCAGAATCAGCTCAAACTTTCTACACAGCAAGAGGACATCAATATGTATCAGAAAATGTAATAAAAAATTGGGGTGATTTCGGAGCCATTTTTTAGAAAAAACCATGGGCTATAGTCTTGGGTATTTTTCAGAATTTTGGCATTTTTAAAAATGCTTATAACTCAAAAAATATTTGTCGGAATCAGCTCAAACTTTCTACATAGCATAAGGACATCAATATGTATCAGAAAATGTAATAAAAATTTGGGGTGATTTCGGAGCCGTTTTTTAGAAAAAACCATGGGCTATAGTCTTGGGTATTTTTCAAAATTTTGGCATTAAAAAAATGCTTATAACTCAAAAAATATTTATCGGAGTCAGCTCAAATTTTCTACATAGCATAACGACATCAATATGCATCAGAAAATGTAATAAAAATTTGGTGTGATTTTGGGGCCATTTTTTGAAAAATACCATGGGCTATATAGCCTTGGCTATTTTTCAAAAATTGGCTCAATCTTTAAAAATGCTTATAACTCAAAAAATATTCGTCGGAATCAGCTCAAACTTTCTACATAGCATAAGGACATCAATATGTATCAGAAAATGTAATAAAAATTTGGTGTGATTTTGGGGCCATTTTTTGAAAAATACCATGGGCTATAGCCTTGGCTATTTTTGAAAAATTGGCTTGATCTTTAAAAATGCTTATAACTAAAAAATTATTTGTCGGAATCAACTCAAGCTTTCTACATAGCATACATTCTTCATTTGACTGGCTAGATTATGCTCACATTTATGACGTCTGTTCCATTGTATTGCTCTGCTTTCATCCAATCTGGTGGAACTGCAGCCAACCCCTATACAATACAAATGATGAATCTGCCAACAAGGTACATTAGACATACCGCTTCAAAAAGACAGCAGTCATAATCTTCCCATTTTCCCGAACTAGCTGTAAAATTCACAAAGAACATGTCCTCAGCAGTAGCAAAGAATGAACAGGAGTAATCATTGTTATCCGATGATCCATCATCAAACAATGGGAGGCACCAGTCTATATAGTCTGCACGAAATGTCTAAAAACAAAAAGAATTTATAAATACATCGGCACATGTACATGTACATGTAATTCTATGTTATAAAAGCCATCAGTAAATACTATTAGAATAAAGGTATTATAATTTACACTTGTCAATCTATCCTAATTACCGTATAGGGCACATATTTCGCGGGTGTAAAATTTCGCAATTTGGCTGCAATTTTAAATTCGGGAATAAAAATTTCGCAATTTTAATGTAATTACCACACCTACTATACAATCAGCACGCTATTTTGTGGGTTTTAATTTCGCGAATTTTTCCAAAATGCAAAAATCGCAAAAAAAATTTAATCTCTGCGAAATATATGTCGTACACGGTATTATTAATAAATAATAATTTATTTTTAGTTTGTGGTATTCTTATTCATACATGTAGCTATGGCTAGTGATATAGTTGTGAAGCATACACAGTGTGTGCTTGTGTTTTGTTCTGTTTGTTATTGTTCTTAGTTACTCTCTTTGATGATTCCTCTGCTTGAGTGTATTCTCTTTCCCTCTCTCTTTCTCTGTTTTTCCTCGTTGCTTAACTTGAGTTTTAATCATATTGTTAATTACAGTCTGTGCCTACCTCTGTCAGTCCCAATATCTTAACACATACCGTATAGGGGGTATATTTCCCGGGGAAAATATTTCACAAAAATCACCTTTCAATCTATTCACAAGGAAAAATTTTTGCATTTTTCTTCTACTGACCATTATTAGTATGGTAAAAAACAATTTTCATAGATAAAAATTTTCACGAATTTTTTAAAACTGTGAAATTAGCGAAATTAAATCCCCGTGAAATATACCCCCTATACGTTATATGTATGCATGTAGTATCTCTGAAGCCATCTTTAAGGTGGATATTAATTGTGACACGTAATTGTAGCATTTTTAGAGAGCGTACTTTAAATTACTAATGCAATCAGCTGCCAGCTGCTGATAATAGATTGAGCTTCTTAGCTGTAATGTTGCGTTATTGAATGGGAGTTTCACCATTGATTTTCTTCCTTCACTAATATTATATATTTCACTAATATCATACATTTCCCTAAATCAGAGTCCCCTTGAAAATGCTAAAATTTAAGAGTATAATTAATATACAGTAGGGCCTAAAGCCCATTCAAAAATTGTTGACGATTTGACATGGATCCTGTTACAGCTGCATGTTTCAGAGTGTGTGGTTTTATACACACTATTTTGTAAAAGGTATCATGGGTTGGATGGTACATGTAGATATCAAAACTGTGGTTAAACCCTAATTAATACCCACCTAGACCTAATTACATGTACAACAATAAGATAAGCTCATTATTTCTACATAGCAATACCATGCAAGCCAATAAACACAAGCAGTGTCCATACCTTGATGTTGTAGTCATAGTACAGTGTACCAGTGGACTTCCAGTCATCTCCATATTTCTCGACAAGCACATCAAAGTTGATGGTAAACTTGTCAGGCCAGGCTGGGACTGGAGGAGGGGCGACACGGGAAGCAGATAAAGAAACTAAAATGAAAAATCCAAGAAGCTTTAGTGTGACCTTTAGTTCAGCCATGACAGCAATAATGTAAGACACACCCTAACTTTATAAAAATAAATTCATATGCAGCTTGGCAGCAGTCAATAAATTTGTTTATAATATAGTTTGATTCAGACATTCTGGCCATTTTGGTTGCTGAATGTCCATTAGCAGATCAGATGGAGGCTGGCATTTATTGTCACATTTTCCATTTGGTAGATCAAAACTAATACCTAAAAATGATCATAAACCACATTAATGACACTACAAATAAATAGTCTCTCAATTTCATTATTAATATGAATATCTTTACCAGATGGAATAGAATGAGGTTGAAAGTCCCGGTATAAAAGCATTGTTGGGCCTACAGGAGATATACCAAAGAACCCAACAGGAGTCCTAGCACTGTCTCTTCCACTCCAATAAAAATAGCAAGGCTTCTCTGGGTTATCTGTTCCAGAAAAATACCACACATCTACAGGTATGTCCTATATTAGTGAATACAATGAAAGGCAAATAATAGGAGTATCACATTATAATGATTTTATAAAATTTGCATAGCATAAGGGAGCACATAACAACAGAGGACAATAAATACATACGTATTACATGTACATGTATAAAAACTATTTTTGGTATAAAAACAATGGACTGTTTATAGCCAAAACTTGAATGCTATAAATTTATCATATTAAAGAATTTCTATGCACACCATATATCAGGTCAGTTTTTCTTAATTTAAGTAGACATAATGTAAAACAATTCAGAATCTTATTACTCCTACACTAGTATCATGCCATTAACTATATAGCAAGGCTGCAAAAGTCGTAGCAGCCATTTTGAAGTGGGGTGAATCCTACTTAGTAACGCTAAATAGTGTTTACTAATATTACTATAAAACCTTTATGTCTGGTGCAATTTTACTGGGATTAAACAATTAAAATCTAATACCTGTATAACATCAGTTCCATTGTATGCTCCAACTTTCATCCAATCGGGTGGAACACTCCCCAGGCCCTATCATCAGAGATTTACTTAGAATAATAACTAATAATGATCATTTTCTTACTCCCTCAAAAAGACAGCAATCGTACTTGTCCCATTCACTTGCTGTGTGATTAATGAAATACATGTTACTTCCAGTGGCAAGAAATGAGCAGGAGTAGTCGCTGTGATTAGAAGGGAAAGGAGGCAAGCACCATCCTATGTAGTCAGCACGAAATGTCTAAGAGAGACATGAAATTTGAATACAATTTTGTGGTGTTAATCTGCCATGAAAGAGGGATTTTCTTTTATACAAACTAAGGAGTCTCAAACTTTTAAAATTTATCCAGCTAACTGTGAGACATAATGCACAACGAGAGTTAAAGTGCCTTGATAATTTTAATAAGTGGGCTTCTTTTGTTTTTTGTACACTAAGCTCCAAAAACAATAATAAAACCCAAAAAGTTAGATCCCCCTCCAAAAGTTTAAACCAACAAAATAAAATAGTCTATACCTTTGAATTCCAATCATAGTACATTTCACCAGTAGATTTCCAATCGTCTCCTTTGTTTTTAATGTAGACGTCAAAGCTGATGGTAAATTTTGTTGGCCATGTTGGCACAGATGGCTGTGGCAGACCATTGGAGTCACAGTAAAGAGAGAAAACGAACGCCACAAGAATTAATAACAAACCACTGACTCCAGCCATTTTGTGCTTGGCTATTAGTAACGCGGTAGCGTTACTAAGTAGGATTCACCCCACTTCAAAATGGCTGCCACGACTTTTGCAGCCTTGCTATACCGGGAAAACGAGCTCCTATGCTTACCAGACTTTATAGAGGACCTCATCTTGACCAGAGGACTCCATTGGTACCACTAGTGTGGCTCTAAACCTTGTCTGAGAGGAAAGCCAAAAATCCAGAAAACGGCCGTTTTGTTCAGCCACCTTTTTTCATCTTCATCATCATCATCATCAAGTCCTGTCAATCCAGTTGTCGGTC